GAAGAAGAAGAAGAAGAAGAAATTCTATGAGGCATTGTGTTTCCCAGCTGCCTTTGTTTGTATGGACTTCTAATTGAGAAGAAGAAGAAGAAGAAAAAGAAGAAAAGAAGATATTCTATGAGGCATTGTGTTTCCCAGCTCTGATATTATTTGATTGAATGATGCCTTTGTTTGTATGGACTTCTAATTGGATCCGATAATTACTTGTAGTCTCTAGAAACATTGGATCGGATCCATTTTGTTGAATTCAACCGTCAGTTAGTGTAGACCAGAAGCAGCCTGTTTTAGCATTCTACTCTAATTTCCATTTATCATTTAGTTTCCGTCTGAATCCTTTAACTATTTTTAGTCTGATATCAAAACAACTCCTTTTTATCACATAAAAACTCAATCCATGTGCTATTAAAATTGTAAAATTTTATATTTAAAAATACTAATTTGATTTAATTGAATTGATTAATAAAATTTTGCAAATAACTATGAACAACTAATAATTTATAAAATAGTTGATATATATTAGTTGATAAATTAAAATCAGTTAATAAATTAATACTTTTAGATACTGCAGTAAAAAGTAACATAAGCAACCAAAAAACTAGCTGCAGAGCAACAAAAGCAAAACAAAAGCTACTAAACAGATTCTGATAAAAGCAACAAACCATAATGGTAAAGGTGCTGGAGACTACAAAAAAAAGACTAGATACAAAATGGGCTTGTTGCTTGGTGCAGAATTTAATAGATACTGGAAACCTAAACTCTAAAATCATAAATTCCATGAATTTGATGAAGTTCGGAGAAGGGCAATCAATATAAATATCTTGAAAACAACAACTCGCTTGAATTGAATGTATGAATGCAATCACTAGTGAAAAATTAGAACTTGTATTGACATGTATTAATCTCATTTATTTCTCTACTGGATAGACTTAGACCGTAAACAAATGCAGCAACAGACTTGAAACTAACTGTAATCTCTCAGCTAAATAGAGAAGCAAAAATATGATAAAGAGTTTCAGTCCAAGCCAAAGCTCCATCTAATACTAAACTGTCAATCATGACAGTGATTAATGATCAGCATCCACTGTAATTAGGCCTGTGGTAATTTTTTTATCAGCCTACGCATATGGTTATATGATAGCTGAATAACAGAAAAACTCTAAATGCAATTCCTCCTTAACCTCTAAGATCACAAGAAACAACAAATTACACTAAAAAGGATCTTAAAACCCCAATTCGTTACCCAATCAATACATACACCATAAGCTCCTCAAAAAAGTAGCATAAACTCGAAATTTGAAACTAAAATCGGAATTAGATTGAACAAAAAAATTAAAATATAGCCTCAACTTATCAATACCTTGAAGAAACAACAGGTTTTGGAGGTTCGGTGTGCATTGAGAATTTGCGGAATCGAAGTGAAAATGAGGATGGCAAAGGGTTGCGCAATAATAAAAGAAAAATAAAGAAAAAAATCGAGGAATTGAGCCGGAATTATC